TGGTTGGATGCAGCAATTCCAAAGCAAACATTGATGATATCTCAAAAGCTAAACGCCAGTTTCACAAACCTTATTTGCTGCTTAGTTTGTGAGATTTGGATATGTGCGCACTGGGTGTGATATAACTATCTTATTGCTGACGTCGCCTTCTTTGATAACTTTTTGGAAAGTAAACATGTTTGTTGTCTTTATTTTTTGTGTATTCACTGTATTGTATTGAACAAAATGATTATGCGGCCCGCGCTCGTCATTCTCTCAGTTATCTGGCCCGCTGTGAAAAAAGTTTGGTGACCCCTGCTCTAGACACATGAAAGAGAAGAGAAGTGGTGTATATATCATAAAGTCAATAATTGTTCACGTGACAAAACAGTCATCTTTTCATAAGGGAAAAACTGAAATAATGCTCTCTCTCTTTTCTTTCTTTTTGTGATTAGTTATCAGAAACTTCCTGGTTTAATCGCCAAGAAAGTATATTTTATTTCAAAACATTTTTGTTGTTTTGTATATTTAGTACAAAGCTACATAATCAGTGGCGGAATAAAACACCTCGACAACCCTGGGACAGTAAATAATATGGAGACCCCTCATGCACATTACTTTTGTTGTACAAGACAAGCGTTACTTTACGGTTACATATACAAATGTGTGTATATTTATAATTAAATTCCTCTTTTTTTTTGTATTAGTACATTTTCATACTTAATCAAGTATAAAATGAATAATAACAACACATGAGAAAGAGTTTATTATGTTTCATAGTACTCTTCACGACATGCACATGAATATAAGGCGTATCTCTGTGATTCTGTGTTTCTTTATGATTAAACAGAGTTTCTTCTCGCGATTTTCATAACAATGACAGGTTCTGTATTCACAAAACCTTTGTGATATCCATATAAAAACACAGATAGGTCGGTTTCAGTTTGACTACCAATTCATCATATTCTTGTTGCATAATAAGGTAGATGCAACATGGAATTGTGTGCAATCTATTTCTGCCCCCACCCCCCACACTCCCGGTTTCTCAGCGGTAAGTCTCGCGGCTTGCAACACTAAAACTATGATTTCGATACCTGTACCATTTGTGTAGCTTTGCGTTTCATAACAAACAAACAAAGGCATTCTATTTCTACATATGTTTTTCGTAAGACTTGTGTTTTCTAAATTTTTGTTAATAGGCCCCTCACGAGCGAGTGGGGGGGGACATTTTTGAGATTATCTTTTAGCTTTAAGAATTATTCATGCTTAATCTGGCCCTTTAAGTTTGAATGTGACATTTTTTTCCCTTTTTTTAACTTAAATCTTAATAACTAAGTTTCATTACCAAAAGTCAATAATTTGGATTCTGTTCGTAATTAGTTTGTTGTCTACCATAGGAAAAACAAGAGGGAATCCTCAATAACCGATACGACAGACATAGTTGTAGTCGAGGCGCTATTTATGTCATCAGTTTTCGTGAACAACAGCTGTTATGGTGTCAATTAGGTTAAACAAATGAATAGTAACTATCATAAATTTTATTTAAGTCATTTACAAATAAAACTTTTAAGGTAAGAATTATTAAGCTTACGCAATGTGAATTAGGGACCTCTATTGGAAAGATAAGACGGCAGTGGTTAAATGGAACGCTAACGTACTCTTGTCGCTTTCTTGCTATCATACTGTTACAACAGCGGAAGTCACGTGACGCTAGTAACACGTCATGAGCGTCTAGAAAATTCATGTCCCTTCGTGAAGCCTCGAATGTTTACCAGATATGCGATATTCATGTATATAAGACCGCCAAGAAGTGACAGCAACAATGGAATGTAATTGAATTGCAGACAGAGATAGAGACGGATAGTTGGGTCGAACGCGTGTGTCATTCGTTGTGAATTATAGCGTGACCGTGGAAATTTAGTGAATTTCAAAGTTGTATTGAGAAAGAATAAACTAGTTTTATTTAAGAAAGGACTTGTATCGCTAAAGTTTCTTCGAAAAGAATTTTTACGGAAAATTAACAAACGAACAGAGACGCAACAATACTTAATGTCATCAGGTCATTCAATGCCGTTTATTCATATGATTTACAGAAGAAACATTGTGTAATGATTATTTTTTTTAGGTAAAATATAACTCAGTAAAAATCCGATGGGTGGCAACAGTGTATTTTGTGCTAGTAAACATTTTTTTATTGGAAGGCAATCACATTTGCTTGGTAAAGCATGGATGGAATTTTAGATGACAGGAGTATTACTAACAGTTGGAACGATTCACACAGTTCCATTTTCTGCAAGTAGTGAACGTCGGATAACATAGTTTGGTTCAGTCTTCTTTTGTTTTCTTCTTGGTGTAATTTGCGATTTAAGTTTTTTACCTTACACTAAACGTTTTAGTCTTATTTGCACGACAATGAGCAATATTAAAAACAACGAAAAAATTTAAAATATTTAATAAAAATAAAATAAAAAATAACAATATACACGTATAAAATATCGTTATTTAAAATATGAAATCAACTAAGAGTTCTAACGTGACCTATTTTTTACACTTACCTTTTCTACTAAGTTATGAAATTCAAGTTCGCTTATAAATGTATTATAAATTTATCTACACACGCACCATTTTACGAAGAGTAATAACTACAGCAGAATTTCCTTCCATAAAACTTTATTATTATATTTTTGTATTAGTTTTAAACAAAGTAATATCAAAAAATGTAATAACTGAAGCTTTTTCTAGCGGTAAAGAAATATAGCAGTATTATTTAAAGCGCGCTATTTTATAAATAATCATTTTAGGCCTAAGTTTTACATTACCAAACAAACCACGGTACCGTGTGAACAATAAACTTGTCCTCTATAG